TTTTCCTATATTCAGAGATGTAGCAGAAAGGTTGAGGTGACCTAAAGGTTACAAATAACTTTTACTTTTTGATTTTCCTACCATAAGACTAATTTTCTTTACTCCCTCTTTTTTATTAAGATTGATGTACTTAAAGGTGAACGTAGTTACATACCTTATTTTACCATTGCCACTGCATTAGTCTAGTGGAACCATAAACTGATCATTCCCTCCCCCACTCCATTATGTTAAAATGCATGTATTGCTCTGTGTTGTTGACAATATTATTAAAGGGTGGGAAGTGTTGAAGTATTATATACCAATTCTCCATGCTTCCTGTGCTTTTTTTTCTGAACAGTGTGGACTTTGAAACAATGTATTAGCAGGAGTATGATAACTTGGTTTTTCATGATCCAGTCAGTTTAAAAAAGTGGTTTAAGGAAAGAGAGAGGGATGGAGAGAAGGTGGGAAGGAGGGAAGGAGAGAGAGTTTCTGTATTTGTATTCATCGAAGATGTGCATTCAGCACTGAATAGGAAACATGAAAAACATAAGACACTCAGCTTTCAAGCTGCTTCTGCTCTAGTTTAAGATACAAACTTACCTGCATGATTATCATAATAGTACCCCATCTATGGAGTATTCTTTGTGCTAGGTACTATATTAAATGCTTTACTTAAAATAGCAGTTAAAACATTTACAATTCATGAAATGGGTAAGTACTGAAGAATATACAACAAATTGGTTCATCTATGGTAGAAAAAGAAAAACAATGCACAGTGAAGGAGATATTAGAGCACTAAAGGCCAATGAAGGGTGACCTCATTGCCTGGTTCGTATTGATATTGATCTTTAGAAACAACGTTATTCTGTCTTAAGAAGAAAGCAGAGCCATCTTTACTGCTTTCTGCTTTTACAAGATTTGATTCCACTTCTAGTTCTGAGCAGTGTGAAGGTTAGAGCTTTAATGAGTGGCTTGGGTTATATAATTTCACCATTGGAAGGTACTTAGTCTGATTTCTTCATTTTATAGATGAAGAAACTTTACCCAAGAGAGGTTAATTTTCTTGCCTGAGATCACACGATTTGTTGCAGAGCCAGAATATAAATTTGGAACTCTTGACTGTTAATTCAGTGCTTTCCCTCCACTATTTCACCTCACTTCTCCCTTTCTAGTTTTTTTCTGAGATATGGATGTGGCAGCATAACATAAATGATTTCGATGAATCTATGTAGTTATTACTTAAATAATAATGATGACAATGCCCCACATTTATGTTTGCTTTTCAAAATTTGTATAGTTTGTCTGCCACTATTAGTTTTACAAGTGAGCAGGTTGATTATATGGTCAACTCATCTATCATTTTTAATGAAGTGTTGTCAACTTACTCTATAACTTGAATAGCCGGTTTGGAGGATAATTGAAATTTTAAGGCATAACCCAGGTTTTGTTTTAGTGTTCTTTTGTACCACATTATTATTTTTTTTGATCAACAGTGCTTCTAATGAAGAGCTAAGTTGACTTGTGTAAATTGTGGATCCTTCATTTACCTTGACCTTTCTCAATTGTATGTACTTGAAAGCAGTGAGGAGGAAAAAAAAGAAATATCTTGAATAATCCATAAATTTAATAATCAATCCTTGAACAACACATCAAGAGTGAACTATACTTAGCCTTATGACATTTTAAATGCTCAAATTATAATATTTTACATACGAAAGTAACTATTTTCTGTCATACCCAAATTAGTATGTGCATTATTTAATGCTGTTTATTTATTTTGGAACATGATTCTATATTTTGCAAAGGCATAATTTTACATTTGTTTTCCATTTTAATTCTTTTATTTTCTACTGAATTCATTACTCTGATATACCTATTGTTAATACTTGATGGCTATATTTTCATAAGAAACTTAAAATTTTGAGCATGATTGCTTTCGGTCATTGTAAAGAAAGGTAAAAGGTAAAAGTCTTTTTGAATAACTCAGGGCTAGTACCATGTTTTAATCAGTTTTGTGCCTTGTAGTACTTGTCATTTCACCTCATGCAGTGATTCTTAACCAGGGGCAATTTTGCCCCCACTCCCGGGGGACATTTAGTAATGTCTGGAGACATTTTTGATTGTCACCATTAAGGTGAATGCTTTTAGATCCAGTAGGTAGAGGCCAGAAATGTTGCTAAAAATCTCATAGTGCTTTGGACAACCCCACAACAAAGAATTATCTGGCCCCAAATGTCAGCAGTGCCAAAACTGAGAAACCATCATGTATGGCAGTTGCATAATAAAGTATATTGAATTAGAAAATGCATCCATTTTATCACTTAAGCATAAGGCTTTATATACTTATATGTGTATTTACATACCAATTTAATGATTCATAAGAGAAGATTTAACTCTTTGCTTCATTATGCTTAAAGTATTAAAACAATTTTGGCGATTATAATTGATTTTAGGTTAGTTGTACTCAGTTGAAATAGTGTTATATGAGTAATCAAATGTTAACAGTAAGAGTCAGTGTTCTTACTTTGGAATTCCTTTCTCCTGTAAAGTTTTCAGCTTCTTGGAATCAGTATTGTATGTTCCCTGCATTATTTCCACTTGGATATGACATAATCAATTCTCTGGAAAAGTTCATTATCCAGATGTCTAAATCAGTAATTAATCTGATAATCCTTATCCTACTATATTCTACTTAATCTCATCTTTAGAATTTAAGTCTGAGATACTAAATAGAATTTGCAGAATCCGATAGCTAGCAAAACAGGACTTCAACTTCAAGCAACAAAGCTAGAGTGGTTCCCACAATCCCAGTGAAGTAGAAGCTGAGTTATAATAGTGTTGTTTGCCATAAGTGCATCATTTAAAATTACTATCACTTATTTTTGTTGACCTGATCTAATTTGGATCAAACTGTTTTGAAAAGGAAATAGATCCTTAACATATTTGGTGGATGAGGAATGGGAAGGGGTGGGGGATGACTTAATGTGGGAAGAATATTGAAAAGCACTTCAGTGCTTTTATGATTACAGAAAAACTAGTTGGTAACTTTTTGGATTTTCTTAAATAGTCATAAGTGCTGCCATTTAGCTGGAGGATTAATGTATGGTCATATTGATGCTCCTCATTTCAATATGGTGTGCTATCCAGAAGAAAACCCATAGATAACATAATCGCAATTGCTATTCTGTCCTTTTTTATTCATGTTTACTTGAACATGACCTACTGAATTCTCAGTCTAAGAAGTTCAGCTAATGTGACATAATCTGAGAGGCTTTTAGGATTTGTAACATTTGTTTCTTAATATCTGTGGCAGCCAGAGTAGAAGCAAATTCTAGATAGCTTTAACTGCTAAAGAGTTTGGAATTTAGGAATGTGATTTTTGATATGATTTTTGAGTTTTGGCATAAAAAATTGCTTGGAGCGATCCCTTAGCAATGGCAGTAATCTGATCAGTGAGAAATAATAGCCTTGCTTTAGCAAACAAGAGAAATAGCCTGTGCCAATGAGTGAAGTTAGTGCATGATAGATTAGGTGAGGTTAAGGAGAAAATAAAGAGATGGTGATATAGTACCAGAAGCTGTAGTAGTGTCATAGAGGCGTTTTATATGAGTGTTTCAAAGTGATGGACCTGCCATACTTTTCTGTTTGAGAAAACAAAAATCATATGTTTCCAACTCCTAACCTCCCTCTTCTATGATGTTTTTCTTGTAGTGGTTCTCAACCTTGGCAACAGATTAGAATTGCTAGAAGGGTTTTTAAAAGTTACTATTGCCTGAGCTCCACTCCTAGCAACCCCAATATAATTATAATTGAGACCTGGACATTGGTATTTTTTAAAGAGCTCCACTGATGAATCTAACTTGTAGCCAGGATTGAGAACCAGTATTTTATAGCAGTGCATCAAAATTGTCTGGAGGACTATTAGGTCTGTGTTGGAACCTGAGAATATTCACATTTCTAACAAGTTCTCAGGTGATACTAATATTACTGGTAAGTGATCAGTTTGAGAACCACTAAGAAGACAGTCTTAAAAAAGCATTTAGGTGTACCTGATCTGCTTTTTTGTTTAATCATTGCAAGTGATATATTTATTGGGTTAAAAATTAGGATTAAAGAATAGCATGTATATGATTCCTTTTATGTTAAAAAGAGGGATACTTCTGTATTGTTTGAATTTTTTTATTTACAATGAGCATTTTACATTTTACTTTAAATTTTTTTTGGAGGAAAAAGCCACATTCATAATAACTAAAAACTTTGTATAGTGTTTCTTAGTTTAAAAATCTGATGAAGTTAACATTTTCTAGTAGACTTTAAACTATTTAAAATAACTTGTGTTTGTGCTTTTTTCTTTTTTTTTAAACCTAATTATTTGAGAATCCTTCAGGTTTCAGATCTTATGTTTTATATATCTTTACCTTTATGGATATAGGCCAAATAAAGAGTCATCTTTGTTCCACAGAAATTTCAACCATTTTCATTTTGGACAGTTTGTTGTTTGAGATGGGAGAAATTTTCTTTTTCTTCATCTTAAATATACTGGGGAAACAGAGAGCCATACACTGAGAAGAATGGTGTAAGTGTGAACAGAGAGAGAGAGAGAGTGCTTACAAGCTAGGGCAATGTTGGAGAAAATGGAACCTTCTGAGTTTGGAAAGAGAACTGCAGGAAGAAGAGGAGGCCCGTGACTTCCCGAAAGAATCAAGGGAATGGATATGAGAGAGCTACTGGAATCAGAAGCGTGGTCAGACAAAGAGCTATTAAATCCAGAGTCTGTTCTCAAATTTATGTCTCTAAGACTCAGGGTCCATTCTCTTTTCTGCAAAACAGTTAAAGGGGAGAAAATATCAGTTCTAATGAACCAACTCTGCAACAAATGCAGCAAATTGTAGTTTTGAGACAATTATGGATCCTGGAAAAATGTCTCTAGATGGTGTTGGCTTTTTTTGCTGCTATGTTTGGATATTGAGAATGTGTAGTCCTGAAATGATGGTTTCCAATATAACTTTGTTTTTCAGAAATCATCCTCACCCTTTGATCACTGTGCTTGAATACAGACCTGATTGCTGGCCAGTACTTTTGCAGCAGCTAACAGTTTTTTTTCAGCAATGTCCTGAAAGGTAATGTAAAATAAAATAAGTGAGGGAGATGGAATTATAGATACTGATTTCAGAGCTTTTTTTTTTTTTTTTTTAAAACTGCTCTGACTATAGTGTTTTCTCCTGAATAAAAGACATGTCTTAGAGTAGGATATAGTTTTATATTAAGAGTAAGAAAAAAAAATCTACCAGATTTATTGATTGTTGAAATATTGATTATGAGAAAAGCTATTATTAAAGAAGTTAAGTATTGGTTAGTTAGGAAAGTTGATTAGAAATATTCAGTGAACTACACAACGCATTTAGAAGATAGTTTCTTCCCCCAGAAATTGATTAGTGAGTTAAACTCTTTCTATTAGAAATCTGCTAATTGATCAAGTAGTACTGCCATCTGGGACTAGATAGCCACCATATGTGGAGTTAGTTTAACTTCACCAAGGCCTCTTGATGGTCCTAAAAGCCACCTTGCATTCTTTCGTTCTTACTACCGTGGCACTGGCTTAAATCATCATCTCGTGGCTTTTCCCACCTGTTCCTGACTGACATCTCTGCCTGTTATCTCATCCTGCTCAAATCCATTCTCTAAACATGCATCAGAGTGATATGTCATGAGAGCAAATCTTATTACCACTCTTTTGCTTGAATCACCACAACTATTTCAAAATGCACTTGCCATGTATGGGCTAAGCACACGGAATGCCTCATCCACCCCTTTCAGCTTGATTTTTATAGAACTTACATGTTTCTATATCTTATGGAAGCTTTCTATTGGAAAAAGAAAAATAAGTTTAGTTTCTGAAATAGTTGGAAAATCCTTGGGCTAAAGGATGAACTCTAGTATGTCATGCTAGCCTCTGTGTATGATATGGTTTCTACCTGTTTAACTAGTTTTATCTTGTCTTTATCTCACAATTTATGAATTATGTATTCAGCAATACACTGACTTAATTTTGGTTCCACACAGGAAGTAGACCTGTTCCCTTGCCTCAGTGCTCTTGCTTATTGGTACCCATCTCCCTCTCTTGAATCTTACCCTAATCTTTCCTGACGAATTTCTCTACTTAAAATCTCTGTTTAGGCATAATCTCTACTAAGAAATCGTTGCTTACCAGAGGTGGGATTAGGTGTCTCTTTTATATGATCCCACAATAACTTCAGTTGTGATTTCTACCTTCATTATATTTACTATATTGCCTTAAAGTACTCTATTAAACCTTCCTGAAGGCAGGGGCTGTGTTTCATTATTTATATTAATAATGCCTGGCACATTTCTACATGCTCTGTAAATGTTGGATTTATATACATGAGGCCCAAAGATTGGCGAGGCCCAGGCAGTGGATTGTAGAGTGCTTCCAAATATACGATATCATTATGTAATACTATCATGCAAGATCAAGATAGGATATCACTGTCTCGGGCAATTTAATGCCTGAGTTACATTCACTGCACCAGCTCCATTTGTGTTTTCTTGCTCTTGAAGGTCTTACAGTGTCCCATTGATACAGTTTCTGAGAATTTTAGAAGTTATGGCAATTCCAGGCCAGATATACTGCTACAGGAAGTTTTAAAGAAAATAAGGAACCCTGTAGTCATCTGCCAGTGAGGAAAATCCATGTAGCATTTGAATGAATAGCTCAAAATAAACATCATCACCCTCTCTTATCTCACCTAGGATTGCATTTTCAAAGGTTAAGATATTAATATTTATTAAATAAGTCTTTGTTCAACTGTGTCAGAGACCAAAAATAACAAATTTGTGACATTTCTTTAATGAAATTTATCTTGTTAAATTGGGATACTTTATAAAAAATGTTGCTGGCGATATGCCAAATTTGTCATTAAGCTTGTTAAGAATATCTTTTCCAATGCTTTGGTTAGGCAACAAGTAATTTAACCTTTGTTTACTTTCATTTCAAAGGAGTATTATATTGGGATTTGAAAGTGGTTATTCTAATGAAATTCGTCCTAATATTCATAAGAAAAATAGATTATTGATTGACTTGGGTTTATTTATTGATAAGCTTCTATTGACTTTTCCTTTCATTTAAATGAAATGTATTATAGTATTCTATCTAGAGCCTTTCGGCAGTTCTAAACTATTTTATATTTATTTGCAAAAATAATTTCAGTTAACTCATTTCTCCTTTTGCACTATGAGATTATTTTTTGCAGGATGAAACTGATAATTCTTGTTGCATTTTTCAAGCTTCCTAAGATTTAATTTTACAGTAAGTTAACCTAGTAGTTTTTAAATTGTTGTTTAGAAGGTAATGAAGGAAATTTGGTAATTTAATAAGAATATAAATATAAGTTCACAACTATGGGAAGGAGGCAAAATGTGAAGATAGCTTGTATTCTAGCTTTTTCCGTGTTAGGAATTACTGATTGGACCAACTGTTTGCATTCATTTTTAAAAGCATATAGATGTCCTGAAATGACAGTATATCTTCATGCAAGGTTTTTGGGGTGCATTATTTTATGATTCTGCATCATTTATAGAAGGTCTGTGATGTTAAGACTTCACCTTCATGGAACTGAGATGTGTAAATTGACAGTGATGGCGTGGTCTTTAGGTTTGGATGCTTTAAGGTTATCTAGTCTAACGTACAAGTTTTCAGGTGAGGGAACTAAATAGAACAACATTAAATGACTTCCTCAAGGTCTTATGGCTAGTTAGTAGTGAAATTGAGCTTAAAGCCGCAGTTTTTGACTATCATTCCAGGTCTTTTCCTGCTACTTCTCTCTCAGCAGTGAACAAAAATATGAAAGATGTATATGTAGATACATGCATACTTGGTTACATTTTTAAACATTCTTAATGGCTTTGGAATTTCAGATTATCTGTTTTATTATTTTCTTCTCTTAAACCCTGTCAGTTAATACCCCATTGAGGTGATAGTTACTCATCAGATATCCTATAGGAAATGCAATATCTAAAATCAGGGCAGATTAAGCCAAGGAGATTTTTAAATAGTATATTGTCTGTAAGGAAGTTCAACATTATGCTCCTGATGTCAAATAATAGCAGCATCTTGGAAATATATTTCTTTATATGAACCTTGCATTTCACCTTTAGCATCTCAAAGTAGGAGAAAACTGATAGCTATCGTGGATATTCTTGACACTTGGACAGTATTTATTCTTTGGGAAACACATTATTAGAAAGAGATGGGGAAAAAATGTTTCTTAAATGCCTTTTCTAGAAACTTATGCTTCATATTCCAACCTATACATACATCATCCACTTGCTTGATCTATGAGCTTTCTTTAGTTTCCTAAAGTGGATGGTATGATAAAGATATATCTTACAATAATAATTTTGAACTCAAAAGTCCTTTTGTTTTTTATAGATTGTGTATTTGTGCTCATGAGAAAAAAAAGTCCTCCAGATTGAGCTCCATCAGAGCTAAGATTTAATCTATTTTTGTTTTTTGCTTTGTTTCTAGCACATAGAAGAGTGAATGGTATACTATAGGTACTCAGTACATTTTGCCAAGTGAATAAATGAATGAATGAGTGAATAAATGAAATTTTATCAGATTTGGTCATTTTGAAATTTTTATTAATGTTAATGATGTTTTGAAATCAGATGGCTGTGGAGTGTATAGTATTATGAAATTATGTTGTCAAGCATAATTCAAATGCCATTTCCTCCATGAAGTATTGTACTTTATACTTTTATTTTAGCGAATTTCACTTTCTATCCTCTAGTCTCAGAACAGAACCGATTGCCCCTGTTAAGATTGTATGCCTCTTACAGATAGATAATGCCTGGTTCATCTTTGTATGTTATCTAATAATTTCTTATGCATAATAAATATGAAAAACATTAAAATTATGATTTTTAATTGATATATGCTAATTGTAAAACTACTTTATAACTTCGTGTAGCAGAATCTAATTTAATGATTGACTGAGCATGTCTTTGAACGCTTACTGTGTACAGTTACTGGTGATATTGAAGTAAACAGAAATCCATGGTCCATACCCTCATTTGGTTTAATGTCTGGCAAAGGATAGAGATATTAAATAAGTAACAACGATAAAGTCATTGTCCTGTGCAAGCATAAATAAGTAACAACAATAAAGTCATTGTCCTGTGCAAGCATGTAATGTGCCTCTGACCTAGGCTGAGTATCAGAGGAGGCCCTCAGGAAGTCATTTTAAGGGAGAGAGCAAAGATGATGGAAATTAGGCAGCAGAAGGAACACGAAAGGGAGAAAGGGGAGAGTATTACAGGTAGAGGGAACAGCAAGGGAGAAAAACCAGATGACTGAAGATTTGAACGAAGCTTAGTCTTGATCACTGGAGAATGGAGAAGAACAAGAAATGAGACTGGAAAGATGAGCAGTGGTCAGATTATGGAGGGTTTTTAATTGGGCCAAGTCTTTAAAGGGTTAAACTCTTTTAAGCTCGTTAATGACATCAAATCTTTATATCTGAAATGTCATTCTGGCATTTTAGTGACTTTGTACTTGGAGTTATTGGGATATGTTGAAATCTAGATATGAAAGATTTGTAAGGTCTGCCTCCTGTGAGTGGAAAGAGGTTAGGAGGAGGGACTTGGCAAGTTACTTCACCTCACTTTGCTATAGTTTCTGCATAATGGGATATAATTTTAATTTTTTTTTTATTTCATAGGGTTGTGGTAAGGATCAAATGACTTTAAAGGCATAAAGTGCAGTTACTTGCACAACATGTTAACAAGTCAACAAGTAAATGTTAACTGTTATAATATTGGGGTGTCTGTATGGCTTTGTCTTTCATAGAACCTCACTTATAGAGTTCTTTCAAAAATACATGCCTATTTTGTATTCCTGGAGATGGGTCCTGACGTTTAAAATTCCAAACATGTTCTCAGATGATTCTGATGTTCACCAAAGACTGATCCTGGAGATGTAGATGCTACTCCAGTGTGCAAGTGGAGACTTTTATCCTAACCATCAGGCTTAAGGTCTCTAGGTCTGGAGTCATTTTCCTCAGTGTTGATTGTGCATCTATATTGGTTATGGTGGAATAGAATCATGACAAAGTTATACCTGGCGGTACCCTAGTTTATGATAGGCCAGGTTGGTATTTGATACTTACCTGCTTGGTAATTCTGTTTAACTCAGCAACTGGCTTCTTTCTGCATTACATGACTTGCAGGTCAGAAGTTTCATGTATCCAAATAATGGCACCATTTCTATGGTATCTATATTGTGAACCATGGCAGTTACAAGAATATGCTAAACTTCGACTAGCCCTGCGAAAAGTCTTACTTCAACCCTGGGTTCTTTGTGACAAAGAACAACCATCAATATTGCAACAACAGATACTTCAACTGTGTTGTGACATAGTTCCATGTTTGCAGGTAAGGCCTTTCATCCTCATTCACTGAGATAATATCAGTATCACTAAGTGTTGATTGTCATTGTCATGCATAAAGTAGAACCTATGTGACCTGGCAAACTTAGGTACATCCTGACTTTAGAAATGCTTGCAGGCTTTTGGAGATGATGAAGGAACCAAATCTAGACTTAACATTAATATCTACAATGTTAACTAAATTCACAAAAAGATAAATCAGCATAGTCCATTTTAGGATTGGTAAGAATGAAAACTTCCTTGAGAAAGACTTTCCTAGGGAAACGAATTTTGAGTTAAATTTTTCCTTGTGCAAGATAGAGTTGTAAGAAAAAAAAAGACCTCTTTGTGCAAATTAGAAAAAGGTGTGTCTCTGGGCAGATGTAGCCCTGGGGAAGCAAGGCTTGACCAGCTGCATGCTGGTTAGATTCCAGTTTCCACATGTCTGTCCCCTTACAACATGTGCGGTGACCTTGATGGATCCTGCTCTTGAGAAGCCTACAGTCCAATAAGGGAATTAAAACTATATAAATTTTCATAATTCAAAGTAGGTGGATGAAAGATGTTTAACAGATCTGTATAAAATGCCTAGGGAGTTCAGGGGAGAGATAAATTTGAACTAATGTCTCTATAACTGCAGACTTAAAAAAAAAAAATCCAGTTGCCAGTATGTTGTGAATTTCATATAGTGCTTCATTTATCAGACCATCCCATCCCATCATCAAGGTTTGTCCTTTGCCTAGAATCTGAGCACCATGCTGCTTAGCTGGTGGAGGGAATCTGTGAGTATTTTTCAAAGTGATCACTTGAGGTCACAGATGACCTGTTTTAAGTTTGTGTTAGCAAGGAATGACTAGAGTGAATCTTTCCTTTGTGACTCATAAATTGGCTTTCCTGTAATCAAGGCAGAGAAAAGTAAATTAAAAGGAATTCTCTTGTGGCTTTTCCAAAGCTTTTGTTTTGTGTGAGTTATAAAGCAGTGTGCAGGCACATCTTGAAGTAGGGTAACCTTTTCACACCTTGCATTACCCTGTTCTCTGCTTTTTGGTAGATGTTTTGTCTTCATCTTTGTGAACCTATATTGACAAGTCTGAATACTTCTCGAAATGAGCTCTGTGCAATATTTCTGGGAATCTGTGGATTGTTAATATAGTCAAGATCGGTGAGAAAAAGGGATACATCATTTGGAACTAATTGAACTAATGACATAAACACGTTTAATCACTTAACAAATCAGCTTTATTAGAATGAAGAATCTGAGAGTTGGGATCTTTGCAGTAGTGTTATGCATTTCCCCACTGATTACAGGGATTTCTTATACTCTTCAAAAAACAACCATCTCATGACAAATGAAATATTTTAGTGATGTAAAGCATGCTATTTTGCGAGGCAACCATTTACTTTTATTAGTAAGTACTTCTTATAATTGACCTGTATTTTCCTAAGACTTTAACCATTAGTCACCAATCTCAGAACAAAACAAAATAAGCTTATAAAAAAGCCCATCTGCAGCCTATCTCATGTTTCTTTCTTTCTTCTTTTTTTCCTTACCTTCTCTCTCTCCCTCCTTTCTTCAATTTTTTTACTTCTCCACATGAAATGGTTTCCAGACTTTTCACTGTCCTTTGCCAAGAACTCTCTAGTTTATTGGTGCTCAGATTCTGTTACTATGAAATTTCTCCTTAGAGCTGAATACAGTACTATAGAGGTGACCTATAATGAGCACTTGAACAGAATCACATTAATTAAAAAAAATTTTTTCACAAATAGCCATGCCATGCTATTGATTTATGATGAGATGGTGGTCAGTGGAACTCCTGTTTCTTTTTCTCATGCCAGTTGCCCAGCAATTTTATATTTGTGGAATTATCTTTTTTGGACCTACCTGTCTTAAACTTTACTATGGACTTTGGTCCCAGTATTTTTTTTAACTCTTGCCATCACACATGTTATCTATTGCACGTGATCTAGTTCTACATAAAGAGAGAACATTACTTCAAAAGTGTTCTCTCTAAGAATTTTGGTAATGTTAAATATTAGAGAGCCTTCTTTCAAAATTTTTTTATTGAAAATTTCAAGCATGTACAAAAATGCACACAGGAAATATATTGTCAAATGAACACGAGACTTTATTTTAAAATTTTTTGGTGGTGGCCTTTTGCCTTTCTTTATATTTGCAAAAGAGCAAAATAACTACTGAACCATTCATTTATTTTTTATAACTTAGTATCCTTCTGTCTCTTCTCCCTTGATCTTTTAATATCTTTTTTTCTGTTTTTTACTAGGAATTAATTTTTCTCTCTGTGTATAACTTATAATCATTTTAGGTTATTATGGTGGTAACAACTGGTGAAAGGTACAGCTGGCCAACTGTAGGCTTTCCTCTTGATGAATTTAACAGACACAGGGCTCTTGATTGAAGCAGATGGTTCATTGTTCATAATCTCTGGGAAATGCCAGAGATTCTGCTAGCAGGACCATATCTTTTATACCAGCTCCAGAATTTTGATCAGAACAGCTGGGTTTGAATTAAACTGGGATTTTTCAAGAGCACCCAAGTCCTTCCTATCTAATACATTAGCCTGTTGAGAAGATACCCTACCATTTGAATACGGTGTTTTCTCACAACTGCCAAGTGTGGAAATGATGCTCTCAGCTGAGGCCTTCTGAGCAAATATCTTGCAGATGAAGAGTTTAACAGTGCAGTGGAATAACATGCTAACCCTTTTATACCAGGGTAGTAAACTATGTTGCCATGGTAGAAAGGAGAGTTCATTTGCAGAACTCAAAACCAACTTTAATTTCCTTCAACATGTTGGCACAGGCATGTAATTTGTCATAAGAAATCTGTACTCAGAGAAGTTAGAAAAATAAAGGAATAGAATTGGTGCCAGACAGCAGTAATAAAAACAGTAACAAATTGTATTTTGTTTAGCGACAAAAGGAAAAAGACAGAGTTGCATAGTTTAATCCTTTGAGCTATGTACATTTCTTCATCTCTTTCAGTCTTTATAGATTTAAAGAAAAATATTTTATCGTTAAAGCTTCTCGTATGACTTAAAATTATCCTTTGGTTTGTATATTGTAATATCATATAATGACTTTTTTAAACAGATAAAAGATTTGATACAGACAACAGAAGTGATGCTGTTTATCGAGGACATATATTTAAGCCTTTCACATCGTCCCGTTTTCTGGAAAGTTCAGCTTACCCAGCTAACTCTTCAGCTGCTGTGTGTCTGTGAAGTCAGCTTAAAGATAACTGGGGAATGCTCATCTTTAATTCACCTTTTAGAGCACGGTGTTGAACTTCTGAAGGAGGTAAGGAGAACAAGAAATTTTAATGTGCCTGTTATCACTTAAGTGAGTCAGGAGCTGAGTGGGTGAACTCTTTTACTTTATCATACCAAAGGCATTTTGATCTAACCCGATTAGATCATACTACTAATGTACAACTACTGCTAATATTTATTATAAAAATGAATCTTTTTTTTCCTTTTTTTGGATTCTGTTCTTTGGAGCATCAGTTAAAGATCTACCATTATGGCATTTTTTCATTTATTCACGTAGAACACAAGCAAAGAACACTTATTATATACCAGACCCTACAGAATACATAGATGATAAGATCACATTCTCTGACCTCAAGGGACTTACAGACATGTGAATAAATAATTGTAGTACAATGCAGTAAATGCTTTCATGGGACTGTAAAGTGCAATGCGAATATCATTAAGGGAAGTAGGGCATGAGTTCAGGTTTGAGGAAGTCTGAATAGGAGTTTGCCTGGTACAACCAGAGGTTGGAAAGGTATTCCAACTACAGGAACAGTATGTGCTTAAGCACAGAAACAAGAGAGAGCAGGCAGGCATCGCCAGTTCAGAAAACAAGGTGTTGAATATTGTTGAAGGATTAAGGTATGGAAGATAAGGCCCAGACTTGAGTTTACGTTTTATCTTCTAGGTAATGGAATGCTACTGAAGACCTTTCAGTAGGGAGGCGCCTTCATATTTTGTGTGTGGAAGATCATTCTGATGTGAGAGTAAAGGAGGGTTTTTGAGCAGGGCAACACTAATAGGGCAGGAAGCGAGGTGGGGTGTCTTAGACTACTAGGGCAGCCATAACAAAATACCACAGACTGGGTGTCTTAAACAACAGAAATTTCTCACAGTTCTAGAGACAAGGAAGTCCAAGATCAGGGTGTTGGCTGATTCCATTCCTAGCAAGGGTTATTTTCCTGGCTCGTAGACAGCTGCCATTTTGCTGTGTCTTCACATGGTTTAGAGAGAGCAAGAGTGAGCTCTCTATTCTTGTAAGGACACTTTTCCTACTGGAATAGGACTCTTAATGATCTCATTTAACTTTAATTACTTCTTTACTCCAAAACAGTTGCATTGGCAGTTAGGGCTTCAGCATGTGATTTTAGGGTTCGGAGGACACAGTTCAGTCCATAGCAATGAGCTAATGAGGGAAATGAGAATGAGAAAAGAAAAATATAGATGAAATTCGCAGGGCTTTGTGGTTGATTAAATGTTCAAGGAAAGGGTCCTTGGTAGAGTTTTAGCTTTCTATTTTGGACAACTGATAGTACCATTTACTTGGAGAAATGGTAGCTGATATTGGAGGGAATATGATAAATTTGTTTTGAGATATACTCGGTTTAAGGTATACATGGACCATAAGTAGTTGGCTATATGATTTTAAAATTCAAGGTTGAAACCTTGACTAAAAGTATAGATTTGGAGACATTTACTTTGGAAGGGGAGCTTTAACCATAGGATAGCACGGCAGGGTTTGAGATGGAACTCCAGGACTGTTGATATTTGGAGTGTACTGATAAAAAAGGAGTCTGAGAAAGTATGGCTAGAAGGATTGTATGATTAGCAGAAGAAACAGATGACATGAAAATCAAGGGAATGAATATCACAAAAAGGGAAATAGTCAGGTGTCATGGAGAGAGGATTTAAAATGAGAGATGGAAAGTACTCTTAGGATGCAGCAGATAGAAGTTTATTGTTCATATTAGAAGAAGCAGTTTCAGTGGAATGACGGTAGTAGGAACCAAACTGGAATAAGAGAGTAAATGGCAGATGAGAAAATGAATAGAGTGAATGTATTTTGGTGAAAGACAGGAGCTGATGAAAGCTGAAGTAAGTCATTCGTCAGTTTGCCAATCTAGTGATTAGAATGGTTTCACATGCTGGGACTCTATAGATAATATTATTTTATATGGTATTATGTAATGTTTGTTATATATGATATGGTATCTATTTTCTGTTACGTACATTATAACATTACATAGTAATAAATACTTATTTGTGTTATATATACTACTGTATATATTATCTAATATGTATATATTACCTATTAGGTATATACCATTATGTATAATAGTATATATTAATAGTATATATTATATAGTAATATATGTGGATTATTATATCAGTTACATGTTATATAAATAGCCATATGTCAACTCCCTTCAGATGTGTAATTATGTCTACATATAATTATAACTTAGGTATATAATAGTATAGGTGATATAAAATATTACATAGATAATATATAGAAATATATAGAAAAATATAGACAGATAATATTTTATGGATAAATATTATATAGAAAATATTACATAGCTAAATTACCAGGAGTTGTATGTTTTAACTGTACCTCATATTGTTCCTTTGTGCTTGTACTAGATTCATGTGAGTAATATACAGAATTATTGATTATAACTTTATAGAGTTCAGTTCCTTTTACTATCATTCTTTGACCATCTTATTATATACCACCCCCCCACACATTTAGCATATATTTATTAATCAGCTTCTTATGGCAAACACTTTACTACAGTAATTAGGTGAAAACAGACAAGATTTGTGAGGCTGTTTTCTGATTGGTGACCATTTCAGTCAAATGGTCAAATTAGTGTGCATAGAAGTCACTAGAGTTTATTAAAATGCAAATGTCTGAGGACTACCCCTAGAGATATTGAATTAGCAGGGCTGAGAGGGGTTTAAACATCTGCATTTCAGGTGATTTTTCTAAGTTTTTTTTTGTGTATAAAACACACTAGTAAGCATCACAGAGATCAAGTAATTGAGTTTTTCCAGGTTTTCCACAAGCCACGGTTTTCCACAAGCCATGGTTTTCCACAAGCCCAGTCCTAATCACAACCTCCTGTCCTCATGACTATCCTGACTTCTTTCTTAATTTTTAAATAGTTTATTACATTTTTCAAAACCAGTTTTATCACACATCATAGTTTGGCCGTATGCATATGTGATCTTTTAGATATCTTTTAAACTAAAGTTAGTTTAGTTCCCTTCTGTTCCTTCCCTCATTTCTTTTCTTCTTTGCAGTATATGTATTGAAAATCTTGGCTTGTGTGAGCTGTAGAGTTTTCTGCATTCTGAACTCTTGGTGCACTTTGACATGTTTCTCTAACAGCTAATGAATTAATGGAACTAGGCATTGAGCATCAACAGCTACTAACATCATGAAAAGAAGAGCAACACACACATTCTTGATGAAAGAATACACCATTCTCTAGTCTGGGAAACAAAAACCCAAACAAAATAAATCTTGAATCTGATCAAGGCCCTGTTTTCTGATTGGTGCAGCTTGGATCAGTCAGCTCTGAACATGGGACATGGTAGGCAGCAAAGATATGGCACTAGGAGAAAGTGTGAGCCAGGCTGCCATCTCCATTGTGCCTGCTATAGATACTTATCTCTGATGTAGACTTTCTTATACCCTGTTTATACTTAAAGAAAAAAACCTAGGGATGTTTGTAGCGACATCCCTAGGCCCATTAGTGTCTGGTACATAGGTGGTGCTCAGTGATATCTTTCTTTTAAGTTGAGGACAAAAAGTATGAACTCCAAGGATTTTCTGTTAATGAGATTCCTGTGACATCTGTGGCTGAGTATATATTTTTATTTTACTTCCTTTCTCCAGGTGGGCTTTGAATTAGCCTGGGTTTCCCCAAAGTAGACACTGTTTCCCAAAAGGAAAAAGCAGAGCCTGAGTTTCCACAAAAGCAAAGGCTTATGCAACAGTAGTTTATTTGCAGGTGTGATCCCAGAGGGACAAGAAGAGTGAAATATTGAAGATGGGAGAGGCAATACATCTATCATCAAGTTGAACAGTGCTACAAGCAACCAGTTGCTGGATCCCACAAAATATTCAGAGATGCCTTATGAAATGTCTCAGAACCCTCCAGAAGGGTCCAGAATAAAGGGGAAAGCATAACTTGGGCTTCTATTGCCAATTCATCAAGCTTTGATCTATGGGGCTTTAAGTTTTCTGTACTTCTGTATCTCTCACTGGTCTGAGGCAGGAAGCAAGAATTACTACAGCAGTAGCAGTAGTACTTAAGTGGTACAAGAGATGTCCAAAACAGGCTTTTATTAAAAAATCAAGTAAACTTATAACCTCTCAGAAGTCTAAGCAATTTAAGATTATCCTCCACCGTTACTTTTCTTTATTTTTGTGCTTTGAATCTCCAGCTCTTTTCTTTACCTTCTATTCTGAACAGGCCAGTCTCCTTTATGCCTTCATACCTTTAAGTTCCATCCACTTAAAATGCTTCTAGACCATTTCAGAACCCTGAAAAGCTACTTTATGACTCTTTTAGTGATAGCTTGTGTGAAAAGGCCTTTTCAGTGTTAGAATAGTATACAGGAATACTTTTGTCTCTGATCCTCTTGGTAGCTGGTAAATTTGAAATTTAAATGACCTTGCTAGGTGTTTTTTTTGTTTTTTTTTGTTTTTTTTTTTTTATAGACATGCAGCATTTGAAATGAAATTGAGGAAAAGATAATGGTAAAGAATAGTGATGATGTATTCTGTAAGTGTATTTATTTCAAAATGCTTTTACTGTCCTGAAGTAGATAATATTGCTTCATAGTTCTCAACTGTTCTCAGCATGGTTCTTAAATATATGTAAGTTGCAAAGATGCAAATTAGAATATCTTCCATTAAAAAATTTACAAATTTTCTTCTTTGGCTGGTATTTAAAAGTCCATAAGCAAGCACTTTAGAAGATTTTGCAGTTTGATTAATTTTGCTTTAAAATGGTATAACCTAGATCTGTATGTGTGTCTGTGTATATACATGTATACATATTTATGTGTGTATAAATTTGTGCCAGAGTTGGTAGCATCTCCAAAATCAAAACTTTTGAGTAGCTCAGATTAAGTTGTTTTCTCTCAAGTGTTTCTTTAATGTGGCTGTACCTCCCCTATCCTTTTTTTTTTTTTTACTTCAGGATTCCTAGGTTTTTCTCTGCAGGCACTTCTATAACATTTCAGAATGAAGTAATTTTAGCGGAGTATGGTAGACTTTCCTTTAGTTCCATAATACGTTAATATTTTCTGTATTTTAGAAACCCTCAAATAACATCTTATTTCACTTTGTTTTATTTTTTTGGAACATAATGTACATATCCTTTTTTTCTTTTTCATTTTATTCATATACTTGGGGAAAATTAATGATTTTAAGTTTCTATGGTTATTGCTTTGCTACATTTAAATATGCTTAATAAATTACTGTAATTTAAAAATCATCTCTGCCTCCCTGGGCACTTATGTTTCTTTTATTATAATAACATTTATTAAAATTCGCTTAGTGTAATTCATTATGCAAGTTATATAGATGAATCATATCTGTATTAGGTAAGTAGACAATTGAGCTACTTTTCAGAAATGAAATATTCTTAAATTAAGTATTTCAGGTACTTTTCAGTGGCTTGCAAAGATTTACTATTTTGAAAACTTGCCAGTCTATTGTGTTAAGGAGTTATTCCTCTGAATTATTTCAAGTTTTTAGCCTATGGCTTTTTGGCTAGGTATAATAACATTTTGAATTTACATATGATTGCATAGGTATTCACCAATTCTTCCTTTAGTAGAGCAGGCTTACTGTAAATAGTTTTGTAGGCAGCGGTCCCTTGGTATCTTTGAGGAATGGTTCCAGGACTGCCCCTCCCCCCCCACCTCCCCTTCCCATGGATACCAGAATCCATGATGCTCAAGTCCCTTGTATAAAATAGCGTAATATTTGCATATAACCTATTCATATCTTCCCATGTACCTTAAATCATCTCTAGATTACTTAAAGTACCTAATACAATGTAAACACTCTGTAAAATAGTTGTTAATACTGTATTTTTTAGGGAATAATAGGGAATAATGGCAAGAAAAAAATTTGTATGTTTAATACAGATGCAGCCATCATAGGCCTAACTAATTCATGCCAGCAACAATGTAACATTTTATTTAAAAATATTTTTGATTTGCAGTTAGTTGAATCTGTGGATTTGGAGCCCACAGATACAGAGGGATGACTGTGATAGGTTATAATCTTTTATGTTGAATATGTTCTTCCTGGATACATATTATAAAGCCATGGCTCTGGGAACTTCTTTTTGTTTTCTTCTTTTAGGATTTTCCTGTTGAACTGGTCATAATTGGAATAGCTTTATTACTTCTACAGACTCCAGCAAGTCAGCAGAAGCCAATCTTAAATCTAGGTAAATAAAAATACATTCGCCAGAGTAACAATACGAGTGTTGGCAGGAGTCACTTGAACTATATATCATGTTATGCTATATAAAGTCCTGTATATTTTGAGTTTCTGTTCTGGAATTTTTATAATTAATCATCAAATAGAACCTTCTTTTCTTGTCCAACAAGCTGTTACCTTGTGTAAGTTTCCATATACCATAGCTTACTAAGTATCTTGACTGTTAGAACGTTATAATCTAAATCATAGAGCAGTGACATTAGTAAATATATTGAGGGGATATCAGCTATTCACAGTTGTACAACACAGAATCAATAGCATAAAACCCTTGAAACAAAATAAGTGTTTAGCATTTGTATTTGTTTTTAAAACTCTACAGGCCCTTACTATTCAAAACTCTTGCCACATTGGACAAGATTTAATTTATGGTTATTAACCTAGCTAGAACAAATGAAAAATCATTCTTTTGACTGTCCAGTATGATTTAAAGAAAATTGAGGAATGGCAAAAGGGAGGCAAAAATGTTCTATTCAATAATAATTTGGTAAAGAATCAAGGTGCTGGGTCTGGCAGGTTAGCAAACAAGTCACGTCTTTAAATGCAGCTTTTACATTAGGTTTGCCTCGCTTTGCTTGATCCAGCATAATGTGGTAATGGAGAATCTGTCTAAATTTTGTTGTATAATGCCATGATACACTGAATCACTCCCACTCTCATTTCAAAAACATGCTTTAGGTAAATACCGATTATGTAGCTTATTCTTGGCATTTTAATTCATCGTGATTTTGAGGGTGAATTGCTCTTGCACTTACAGTCTTATCTTGGAAATGGCTTTCACACATGGAGGGGGCACTCTTGGCTTTTAGCCTTTGATTTCCATTCTGCTCTAGCCTCTTGGCCTTATGGTTGTTTGTGCCCCCACGCCCTTTTCTGAACTACTTTTGCCTTTTTTTTCCTGTAAGCACTGCTTGCAGTATCCTCCCATAAGTATAATTTGCTAGTACTGCTACTTCTGATGGACAGTTTTTTTTTAGTTGTCA